CTTCAATGGGCGTAAATCAAACTGGAAGTAAGTTCAGTGGGAGTAAGTCAAATTTTCATATTTCATACTTTGGAGTAAGTCCCTGAACTTCCCCCTCCTCAAAAAATTTGTAACGAAAACCCTGGATACTTGCATATATTTCGCAACTACTTACCAGGTTATCTGCCAAATACTCGATGAAGTACTAGATAAGTACTTATACTTGTTAAGTTACTTGATAAACATCTTTTTTACTTGCAGAAAACGCCATGTACTCTGGACATTACTTACCCAAGTACTTTTCTAAGTACTTGGCCTCAAGTACATTCACTATGGTACTCATTCAACATCAACTAACAATTACCGTCTCGAGCATATTATTGAATTGATGTACCTATTTTTGTCTGGATACTGTGCGGTTTTAAGAATTCGTTCTGAGTTCAGAAGATAAAAGATTTTCTGCTCTACAAAACTCTCTATATAGCACACTTATACAGCGTCATTTGGCCAGTCCTTTCTCCTGCTTTTGTTAAAATTCACGTTGCCAGAAAGTCCCAATTAACCTGTGCACTAAAATATTTACAATTTGAGTGACCGAACGGAAAAGCAGCGTAGTCTGGATGATAGCCCTCAATTCCCTAAACATTTTTATAGCACCCTCTTTTCTCAGTTATCATATTATTTCTCGAAAATCACATAAAAGCCAAAAAGCTATCAAAATTTTGATAGTAAATCGCAGTTATAAGTTTTACGTGTCCTTACTCTACGCTGTCTTTCTAAATAATAAAATAATATGTAATGAAGGAAGGCAATGGATTTTGTAGAGCAGAAAATTCTCTATTGAATGAGTCTAGAGTGGAGTCCTAGAACCTCAATTGAGTGCACAGAAATAAGTTGCAAAAGTGTGTCATGCTTTCTGGGCCACCCGTTATGAAAGTCCATTAGGAATCGTGTTAGGTTAACATCCCACAATTGGAAGATACTTCTTTATTTCTCATTACAAGATCATATTCCTATTCTTTTATTCCCTTAGCGTTGGTCAGGGTCATATAAACTAAAATGTTTGTTTGTCCAGACGAAAAAATCAAAAACTTAATAACTCTTGAGAGAAACGGTGTAGATGGCTGAAACTAGTAGACTGTAGGTAATCTAGCATGAAGAATCTAATGGTACCATCTGAGGGTCATCAAGTAGTCTTCAGAAGAACTTTGAAAAACATTTTGTTTTCTGCCGATATTTAGCTACAGTTTGAATCAATATGACGGATAAGCATGATGTCCAATATCTGTGGATCTCTCTAGAAATCTCGGTTTTCTCCCGATTTCTGTAACGATTTGAAGAAAATGAAGGGTGGTATGCTCGGGTTGTCTGAATTGTGAGAAAATCCTCCCAGCCTCTGTCAGTTCCAGAGTGTTGAGATAAAGTCGTTTTCCTACAAATGTAAGACTTTTAGTGTCACTTAATAAATATTTTATACTGTCCACTGGAAATTTCTAGTAGATATTTGTATGCTGTGCGACCTGAAATTGATTTTATGCGGACATGGGTATTTCGATTGTAGAGCTGTGATGTGCGTATACGAGAGGCCACATATGAGAAGAAAATGATGTGAGTAGGGCACAAAAGAGAGGAAGCCTGTGTTTGTCCGACTAGGCTTTTCTTTGACGGTTGTTCATGATGCCCATTGGCCAAGAAAAGGTCATCGGTGGCTATTGTTGTTCTATTGGCCGGGAAGTAATCATCTGCCGCTATTACTTGTTGTCGTCGACGTTGTTCCAGCGGTCGATTATTTCGTTTTCCTACCTTTTGTGGCTGTTGGTATTCTTCGTAATATTCTGGTTCGGGTGCCGGGTCTTCATATAATATGTTATATAGGTTGATGTCCATGAGCTAGTACTTTGGCATATGTTCGTCGTACGAACTTACGTTTGTTGTGTTGAAATGGTCTGTATTGTTGCTCTTATGGTGCGAGCCGCCGTTTGATTGTACTGGGATAACGGGTGATGGTGGTATATAGCTGTCAGTGTTTGTGTATGCATTAAAATTTGATGAAATACCGGTTTGAAACCGTCTTTTTTCTATTCGTGGCAGTGGTCGGCGATTCGAATTGTAATATGTTTGTTGTCGAATCGGTCCCTGCCGTTGATTGTATCGACACTGTGCCTGTGGTATTTGATTGAAATAGAATTAGTGGCCCATCGCTGCAACAACGACATTGACAGATGTTCAAGTGTTTTTCCAACTTTCCGTATTGCTGGTATAAGTGTAGCATGCGATTGGTTGTTGCTTTGCTTTTACTACCGTGCATGCTGCGGTAGCATCCAGTTTGCCGGCTTAATTGTTTCCATCTCTTCAACGCTACGCGCTTTGGAGTTTAAGTCTATACGGAGAAGCATTATATTCAACACTATTGACAAAAAAATCGTTCAAATCAATAATTTTACTACAAGAAGTACGAAAATATTACTATCTCCCTAAAGGATCAACAAGTTTAAAACGAGAGCAACGATTGAGTGATGCTGCTGATGCGCATATTAAAGTCGGAAATGTTCGTCAATATTGTGAAATTATGACTGAACTGGGCGAGGTTGACACAATTTCGCTGTTTTTTTTCTAAAAATTATTATTTGTGATAATTTCTTTAAATAGTGGGATAACGCTCTACCAATAGCGCCAATACATTGTTGTCATTTTTTATGGAAGGAGGACAACTAAGGTAAAATACACTCTTTTCCTTTATACAAAATATCGTTTAATGAACAAACAACTACTCTGTATAGTGACGGTGTTATTTTCACTGCTGCTTATAATCATGAAGCTATCAAACAATTATTAATAACGCAAGAATATAATACAACAAGTGACAATTATGTTGTCCATTCAAGGTAATATATGGTGTATGCTATTTGAACTTTACTCTCTCATTGAGTTTATGTACAAAGGCATATAGAAAAGTTCCCAATTGGCATTTTATGTGCGATCGTCCAATAAAAGCCGCTTATTGTCATTTAGCAGCTAAGATAGATGGATAAATATTATTATTGAATTTTTGATATCAACTGATCGATTTCTACGTTTTATAGAAAGCTCTATCGAAACTGCTACAATGTGGTTTACTCGAATTAGCAGTATGTCTCGGTGAATATCTTTCACACGACACTGGAATCAATTATCTATCAAAATACTATCCGACAAAGCAACCATTAAATAATGACAATATGTATGTAAATGTTTTTTCAAATAATAATTAATAATACCTGTTTGTTTGTTTTTTATTAGTGATATTGCGGACGAATTATTAAAATCTATTTCAGATTCGATATATCATTGCGTATTTGTGCTGAATATGATTTATATGAAAAAATATTTCGTTATTATCTACGATATGTGATATTATCTTATTTTTAATATTTTTAGGTTAATCTACTATCGTCAACAGAATATGAATTATTAACGAAAGAATCCTTGAATATTAGAGGAAAAGAATATGAAACAATTTCATACTATTTTCTAGCACAAAAACCGGCTATTGGAATTAAAGTTGCTATCAATTATATCAGTGGTATGCGTTGATATAAATAATTATTAATAAAAGAAAAATTTAAGTATTACTTTTTTGAAATATTTCACAACGTTTAAGACATCATTCATGGAAATTGAAAGATGTACAAAACAAGGATAGAATATTTAGAAAGCGTTAGTGCATCTGCACTTACCACTTGCACGTAGTATGTATAATAATAAAAAAAGAATGAAAAGAGTACGGATAAATAATGCTGATATCATTTTTTTCTATAGCTACATATCAGATGTTCAAATTATATGTGTGTATGTTGGCGTATTTAAAGCAATATCGTATGGATATAATAGCATAGTGCCATTACTATTCAAAACCTCTCTGTAAGTAGAATATTATTCTCCTATTATATTATCAAAAATAATACTAAATTTTTATATTTTATATAGTCAACATTTACAAAAAAAATTCATTTTCCAATTATCACTCTAGAACAGATTGAAAAAGGATTGAATGTATTGTTTCACTGTCACAATGACTCAAACAGATTTGAAACATGTCGAATATTCCATATTATCTATTTGACTTATTAATAGCGTTGGACAAAAAACGAGATCAATCAGTTTCAAAAGGCATATTAACAGATGGACTAACCCAGGATGTCAAACTAAACCTGTCATCGCTGCTTATAACGACAAAGTTTACTAGTACAGTCAGCTTGATGATAATCCCAAATTCGAATTCAACTAAAATTAGAAAACTCAATAGTTACGTATCTCAAATGATTTTATTATTACATCTTTGCTTAACTTACTTATCGTCGGAACCCGAACAAAGATAACTGTCTCGAATACCGTTGACCGTCGTACATCAAAAACTATTGCTTCATCTCCTGAGAACTTCATCATTGAAGTTTAAAGCTTTCTTCTCTCACAGAAGAAAGCTTTAAAATGAATTACATACTGTTGGATAGAGCATAAATAGAGCTTCCAAATGCATATATTACTTTGGTGTTCTATTAAGGTGAAAATACATGTATTCTTCACTATATGCCATCAAACAACAATATAAATACCACGAGGCTATTTTGAAACTTTTTTAAGAACATATCTATAATCATAGATCATAGATGTTTGATTCTATATGCGTCAAAAAATTGCGCACAAGGTCGATGTAATTATGGTACATTTTTTATGGAACTGCGCAGATAAAAACTGAATAATTAAATAAAGCGTTACTATTAATAATGCGCCTTAGGCTATAAATGGGATATGTGTCGCTTTTCGTATGTCGGATCATAGCGTCATCTAGAGGCACGCTAAATCAATACTTTAGGCCCCACAAATGCTTTAAATACGCGAGATTTTATTTTATTTATTCCATTGAATCTCCTTGTTTGTTACATGAAATACTTCTTTACTGTTTCCTACTACATCCAAAATAAAAATGGTCACCGACCACTTATAAAAATCTGAGTTGTGATGAGTGATAATAATGCTTATTATTTACTTATTTGTAGGTAGAGTCTATATATCTGCTATAAACTGAAAGATTGTACGTAAAGCAAGTTGAATATTTTCCTCGTTGCATTAGAACGATAGAGTGTACTTATACAAGTTGGATCTGTTGAACTAAAGATCGAGTGGGCGACCAATAAAAGACTAAAAATGAAATCTTCAAGAATGAATGATTTCGTGATTATATGAAAAGATGATTGTTACCTATCAGTAAAACATGCTTGTTATGAATAATCTGCCAATATCTTATTCCAAAGAAGGCTGCCAAAAAAGATCCTAAGTGGATCTTTTACATACTTAAATTTACTAATAGTTCTAGGAAAAGATGTGGACGCACTCGCATGTAAAGGAACTTTGTCCTTCTTCATCAATATAGATTTGGCATGGAAATTTTTTTTTTGTTGTCGATAAATGGAGTTTTCGAATTGTTTTAGAACTCTAGTGAATGTACGTGGGATAAGTACTTCGGTTGCGTAATGAAACTGGTATATGTCTTTTTTCAGACGTACGTTTACTCATAAGTACTTTTCTCTGCAAATGTTTTTTTACAAAGCACTTTTTATTAACAGAATCACGTATTGTAATCTTGGAAAAAATCATAGCAAATAATTAGTTTTGTAGATACTTGTAAATACTCAATTTTTCAAAGTGATCAGGTTATTAAATATATTTAGAATCCATCACTAATATAATTAATAGTGTTTGACTAGATGTCAATGCATTCTATTTTTTTTAAATAAAAATTGTCTTTTTCATTAGTGTTTTGTTTGCTAATAATACGTAACTTCTTTCAAGACCGTAATTAGTATAAGATAGTAATAAACAGCAACGGCCATTTATTCAATTTGTTTTATTCTTATATCATACATTTTAGATGATTTTTAATGTTTTTAAACAAATGGCGTGATCCAGATCAAAATTCTTAGTATTATACTCAAAACAACAATCACAAGCGGATCTTTTGATCCCTTATTCTGTTTTTCAATTTTATTTGTGTTACAATTTCTGGGCTCCTATTTCGGTGTTTGTTTTACAGTTCATACTCTTGCTCTACCCTCGTCTTTTTGTTCTTCGATAAAATTTTAAAATGGCAACGCCGTCCGCAAAATCAAATATTGTCAAATTAAATCCTCAACCATCAATTAGAGAAAATTCTGATTCAGTAAGTCTTATGTTTTTATTTCTTTTTGCAATGAAATCAATCGTTTTCGCATGTGATTCGATCAAAGTAACTTACTAGTCAGTCATTTTTTCGATTTATCGTTTACACCATTAAAGGTTATTTTTATCATAAAACTTTTTGTTTTTTTCTCATCGCTATTGAAAGATTCACTGTTATTTCGATTATATTAGCTCTTATAGACTGTAGTTTTTATTAATCCGCCTGTTTTTCTCTAGAATGAGAGGATGTGATTGCTGAGTTCGAAACGTGTCTTACGCAAGCTCTTATGTTCAAGAAAGCCTTTGGCTATTAATTTATACTGTAAAAATATTCTTTTATTCTTCTTTTTTTCTGATGACATGGACAATATTTATCTATATGGAGTACGACAACGACAAGCGTATGATGATAAAATTATTTTTATTTATTTCAAGTAGACACCCTCTATAGATCGAAGATGGTAATAAATAATTGTTGTTAATTATCTTTTTATAATTATATTATGCAAAAACAAAAGATATCCTTCACAGAATTTCAGTCTTATCTAGACAAATGAAATTGAAATCTAAATACTTTAGTTGTTATTGTACTCGTAAACAATCTAATTCTTGTTTAATTCATTTTCGAAAAGTGAATAATTATGTTCGATGCCATAGTTGATAATATTTTAATATGAAAGTTTTTTAATATTGTTGTTATTATAATATCCTCTCAAAAAAACATTTTTCAAAATTATTAAAAATTTTTTTGAAAAAACTTTTGTAATAGTAGAAAATCAGTCTCTTCATATAATTAGATTTTAACAAAACATAGCCGTGTGTTTGACTATTTGTATTTCCCATGTGAAGTTGAATTTATTATGTTGAAACATATCAATACATAACATGTGAGTATTGGATTTCTTGAACATGATCATAACATCTGCCGTGTATGATGGTGTCAGTACTATGGCAAGATATTCAATTGTCTACTTAGAAGGAGTGAAATTTACACGATTATTATTTGGGATGAATTCATATGTGATACAATATGCTGAGATCTTTTTTTGTTTCATTATACCTTGTGTCACACGCACATACATTAAACTAGGCAAATGTTTAATGGCTCTATTCTATCGACATGATGTTTTTTGTCGTGATCATTAAATACGTAATAATGTTTTTTCTTTTAACTTCTTTTTTTTAATATATGGTCTATATTTCACTACATATGCTAGTTCAGCATATAATTTTTGACCATTTTTTTTTAAGACTATAAAGGAACTTTTTTTTTTGAAAACCGCAAAATAGACAGATTGCTCGTTACATTCATGGACTATTTGACCGGTTAAGTGTTCTCCGTTCTACGATTAGTGACGAAATGCTAATGTGAAAGAACATGACAAAAAGAAACACATCGAGGCATTTTTATGCATGTAGAGAGGTATATATATATATATGTACACCTATAGAGAGTCTAAAGGTATATGTTCTTCAACTTATTATTCGTAGATGACAAAAGAAAAATACTGCTGTTTTCTGCTATACGGCTGTACCTGTTCTGGTACGAAACGTCAAATAATAGAAAAAAACGTTTGTTGTTAACAAACGAGAGTATGCGCAAGTTTCGTCATTTGGAACATGCCCCCCGCTGTGAATAAAAAAAGTAAAGAACAGTAGAATCAAAGTGTTTCGTTAGTTGATGGTTCTCTTATTACAGATAACATTATTTTTACATAAATCAAATATTAAATTCGTCAAATAACATGGGAGAAAGGACCTACACACAATTGAGTGACACATATGAAACAGCAATAAAGGAACTTTTGACATTGATAGTTATGATGTGATAATTGTGGAACATTTTCCCCTTATCGAATTTTTGTGAGCCTTATGACCTCAAATTACCAATAGTAGTGCCTCTGCATCTTTCGTATGATTCTACACATTTAAAGTCAGCTATGGTTCGATTGTCATTGTTACTGTTGTTTCAATATCAAACTTAATTCAGAGAGGTAATTGCTAGATTTAAAATGAAACATTTGTCTAATACATTATGAATTATATTTATATCTGAATTTAATATTGTATCGATACAAGTAAAATTATTACTCGATACCTTTTCTCTTATTTAAGTTGAAACTGTAAAATTTCAAAATCATTCCTGGTTTGAATGAAAGATTGTTCAAAAAAAAGAGAAAAATCTATTCATATTAGATTTATGTTCAATGAACGACATCTAGACTCATTTCTTTTAAATTTCTAGAAATCATCTGAAACACAAGCAATGACTAACAGCAATCCCCAGAATACGACAACAACGAGTGGAACCCGTGTAACATCGGGTAAAATGCGTGATCCAAATGAACCACATATTGGAAAATATCGTTTTATTAAAACAATTGGAAAAGGCAACTTTGCTAAAGTTAAATTAGCTAAACATATACCAACGGGAAGAGAAGTAGCAATTAAAATAATTGATAAAACACAACTGAATCCAACCAGTTTACAAAAGGTATATATGGATATGACTTTTTTTTTGTTGCAATTAGCTTCTTTTTCATTTTCTTTTGCTTTTTGTTGCCGCTGTTTTTATATTGTTTTCATTCATTTTTCTTTAGTTATTTCGAGAAGTTAAAATAATGAAAGGACTCGATCATCCGAATATTGGTTAGTTAGGAACGTTTTATATATAGTTTTCTTCGTTACACTATTCAAATACTTAGAAAACAATATCTACTCATACTATGTTTTTTTTTCAGTTAAATTGTTTGAAGTTATCGAAACAGAGAAAACGTTGTATTTAGTAATGGAATATGCCAGCGGAGGTGAGATCGTTGTTTTTTTGTTTATCTAAATGATTTGACAGCGATAAAGTGACTGTATAAATTTAGGCGAAGTATTCGACTATCTCGTAGCTCATGGTCGAATGAAAGAAAAAGAAGCAAGGGCAAAATTTCGACAGGTTCGTTGGTGAACATCATTATTTTAATCAACTTAAATGTGCTCATGTTTTTTAAGATCGTATCAGCTGTTCAATATCTTCATCAAAAACATATCGTCCATCGTGATCTGAAAGTATGAAATAAATTAACTATTGTTATCATTTAGTACTTTGTTGTTTCTATGAGAATATGCTCTGCATTAGTTATTCAACTATGTTCAAATTTTTTCATTTATTTTAGGCTGAAAATCTTCTATTGGACGCCGAATTGAATATAAAAATAGCTGATTTTGGCTTTAGTAATGAATTTATCCCGGGTAGTAAACTCGATACATTTTGCGGTAGTCCTCCATATGCCGCACCAGAACTATTTCAAGGTTAGTTAAGTCTATACTTCAGTTTTCTAGATTACAAATCACTATCATTTTTATTGTTATTTTCTAGGAAAAAAGTACGACGGTCCTGAAGTCGATGCTTGGTCCTTAGGAGGTAAGAAAGAAAATTATTTGTTAATGCGACGATACTAACAGATCTTTTAATTTTGTTTTCTTTCCATAGTTATTCTGTATACATTAGTTAGCGGTTCACTTCCATTTGATGGACAAAATTTGAAAGTAAATTAAATATTAAAACTATTTTATGCATGAACTTATTTACTTTATATTTATATAGGAATTACGTGAACGTGTATTACGTGGAAAATATCGTATACCGTTTTATATGTCAACCGATTGTGAAAATCTACTGAAAAAATTTCTTGTTTTAAATCCTGTGCGTCGTGCATCACTTGAAGTAAGAGAAAGAAAAGAACACTTAGTTCTAAAACATTTTATATCTCTTTTTTATTTAAGAATATAATGAAAGATAAATGGATGAATCTCAGTTTTGAGAATGATGAATTGAAACCGTACGAAGAACCATCTCAAGATTTTACCGATTCACATAGAATAGGTAAGTATTCTAATTATTAATTGTTCCATTTTTCTCTCTCTTTGGTGTTTACTAAATATTTTACTTTTAATTTTAGATATAATAACTCGTGACGGAAATTATAATCGTGATCAAGTATTCGATTCACTCACTATGAGAAAATATGATGACGTTATGGCATTTTATCTTCTTCTTGGATTAAGATCATCAGAAGTATGATTTACAGTATTAAATCATATATTCTGTTCACTGTCTCTGTTTATTTAGCTTGAAGGCTCTGAATCTCAATTAGGAAGTAGTTTATCCGTGAATCGTACAACTACAGCTAGACAAAACAGTAACTAAATATGTTTGATTACTTAACATTCTTTTGAACTTTACCTTGTATACTTTCAGATAACACAACGTCTAGTGGAACATCATCTACTAAAGGTGTTACCGATGCATCAAATAATCAACAATCGTCACAGCAACCATCATCAAAAACGGTTACAAATCGTCCATCAACCGCTGCAGCCGTTTCTGAGCATGGTAATTCATTATTTACCAGTAACAATAAAGAAAATATTCAGTTATTAAATTCTGATAAACAACGACCATCAACAACTGCGGCAAATAATCTGGATCATTCAATGGTGAATGGTATTGGCGGTACAATCACAAATGGCGTTAATAATCAAATGTTAATATCATCAAATATAGATACTACAACGTCAGCATCGAATACTCATCAATCATTAAAAATGAGCACAAGTGGTGGTGGACAAACCTCAGCGAGTGGGGGAACATCTCGCGGAATAACAGCTGAAAAAGGTCGTTCGCAAACAGTAAGATTACCGGGTAGTGGCGTAAAAAGACGAGAAACAATTGATCCCGTTGCTACTGGAGGAAGCGGACTGAAAAAAACTGAACAAACTGGCATAAACATGTCGGGTGAAAAGTCAGCGTTAAACAAAACAATCGGTAGCGGTGGTGGTGATATGTGAGTTTTTATTATATTTTTATCTTTTAATTAGTGCTTGGTTGCAATTGTTTGTTTAATATGCTTTTTGTATATTCGCTTAGAGGTGAAAGTCGTATTCCCCGTTTTGCTCATCAAAGGTTGAATTAAACAAATCATCTTTAAAAAATAAACAATAATTTTGCTAATTTGATCAACTTTTTTGTTTAGTTTTAATCGTAGTTCAAATCAGTCATCAACAGGTGAACAACAGTCACATTTGGGTACTCGTGCATCAGCACGCGAACCATTCAGTGTTAAATCAGCGAGTATGACCGCTAATCCTACAGCATCATCAGCAACTCATGCATCAAAATTACAAGACAAAATAAAGTAAGTGATGAAAAGAAGTCTTAATCTATGAATAAAACCAAATAAAGAGATAGAGAGAGAACCAACTATAAACAACATCCACCACTATTTATTCAGACGAAAAACAGGTGCTAATGCATCGACAGCTGGTCGAGGAGAACATATTGCAACTGGCTCAATTCGACTCTATGCTAGTGGACATCCACAAACTTCAAAGTAAGTTCAACGCTGATGCCTGTATGCAAAATTGCAAAAAATTACTTCTATTAACTGTATGTCTATATTATAACCAAACCAATCGACTAATAAACACGTTTTTGTTCTTATTTTATCTGATCTAAGGACATGTTGGATCGATGGGGACAACGTAGTCAACAGAACATTCTTTTTCTCTATATATAGCAGACAAGTGATGACCTAATTTCAGCCAACATTTAAGCTTTTACAATGCATTTCACTTTGTATTCAATATTAAAATGCTATTTTAATCATGTCTGTGTGTCCGCGTGAAAGTGATGGCACACAGATAATCACGCAACTATTTGTGCTCACTTGAATATCACCGATTAGGATCTGGATATAAATAGACACAAATTGTGATGAATGCAACTACGAAACAGCAGTACTGAAGCTAATTTTTCAAAAGATGATTTCTTCATGATAGTGATGACGTTGATCAGCTCGCTTATAACTCTTTTAGGAAATTTTTTTTCTGCAATTTATTTTATTGCTATGACTGCAGAATGATATAGGCTAGTAAATAACGTGATATGAACTGCTCTTATTTAACAACGTGCTAGTACAAAAACGTTTTCTGAATAAGATGTTGTCTTTCTCTTTTCTCTCTTTATTGACATTTTCTATTAACAAACGCACGGCTTAAAAGTCTATTTTTTTCTCGTTTCTTTCTCCATTGTAGCCCTGTACCATCTTTGGGTCCATCGTCATCGTTGGCTTCAGCTGCTGCTTCGTCATCGGCAAGTACTAGTACTGCCACCACTATTGCATCTTCTATGTCAACTACTACTACGCCTTTATCTGCGGCTAATACTAGTGTAGTTAGCCCATCACGAGGTTTGCCTATGGATCGTCATGCTGTTGATCGTAAAACAATTCATAGCACATTTCCTACACGACAACAACATAATCAACATCAGCACTATCAAACAACGTCGACAGCCGGCGGAGCCAGCGGTGGTGGTGCTGGTGGTGGTCTTGATTCAAGTGCACGTATGCAGGCGATGATGATATCGCCAAGAAATAATAATAATAATACAATGGCATTTGGTGATTCTAACGAACGTTATCGAAATGGTGGTGGTATCGGTGGAGCGGGAGGAAGTGGTGCACAGTCATTCCTCAGCAAACTTTCGTCTAAATTTGCACGAAGGTAACACAAACACACACTCACATATAAACATAATACTTTTTTAGCGCACAAATTTTTAGACTAGCGGAAATGGGGTATATTTTTTTGAGACTATGACAAAAACGTTTCTATTTATTTATCTATCCATCCTTTTCTCTCACTTGTTATGGTGTGCAAAAACTAACGCTTTTTGTATATGGAATGATTTTGTGATACTGCTATCTTTATTTCTATCACGAAACTGTCATGGCATGATGATTTATGACAGATGCTAACAATTCTTTTCTTTTTGAGAAATGTTCGTCATTTTTTACTCATATTTACACATTATCGATAATAGACGTTTTATGGCATAGAAGTACCTGAATCTCATGAATCATTCAAAAATAGCAAACATCGCGACGAATATTTTATTTTCCATTACATGCTTAAACACAATACAGATTTACATTTTTTTTATGTTTACAGGAAATCTATTCGAGACCCACCAACATCCGGTATGGGTGCCGGTGCTGGTAATATTTCAACGTTGGGAACGAGTGGTGTGGGCGGTGGAAGTACAAGTAGTGCATCATCATCATATCGTCGTCCAGATGGGAATGAAAGTTTAGCAGTGGGTGGCGGTATTGCCGGTGAAATAAAACCACGTTCATTGAGATTTACATGGTCGATGAAAACAACTAGTGCAATGGATCCAGCTGATATGATGAAAGAAATACGAAAGGTGCTCGATATGAATAATTGTGATTATGAACAACGTGAAAAATTTTTATTATTATGTGTACATGGAGATCCAAATACTGATAGGTAATGTTATTCTAAAGAGGCTATTTTATGAATAAAATTTGATTTTATACTTCTAGCGTTGTCTCATGGGAAATGGAAGTATGTAAATTACCAAGACTATCATTGAATGGTGTAAGATTTAAACGTATATCTGGGACCAGTATTGGTTTCAAAAATATCGGTAAGTAAAAACTAAATCTTACTCTCGAATCTATATTTTTACTATTAAATAATTTTATGTTTCTTATTTTAGCTAGTAAAATCGCGAACGAACTCAAATTGTGATTCATTCATTTATTTATTTTCTTTTTTTCATAGTCCTACTAGTTACTGATCATGAATCGATTTCAACCGTTTTTAGTTCATCTTCGTTTTTTCTTGTTTCTAGTGTTTGTTTTTCTTTTCTTTTCTTTTCTTTGTCCACCTATTTAATACTCTCTTCCCTGGAACATACGAACACATGCTGTGCTGCAAGAGAAATATTTACCTTATCCAATTAGATAGCAGAGTTGAACTTTCTTTTGCTCATGCCTAAAAGGCATTTATTTTGTTTTGTTTTTTGTACGTTAGAAAAATTGTAATTGTTCTTCTATTATTTGATGAGAATCGTTATAAATATAATTATCTCTGTATATGTCGGTCAATACTTCTCTTTTTGTTTTTCAGTCAAATTTTTCTCTCAATCTCTCTCGCCGTCTTTGTCTCAGAAAGTAACCTGAAACAAAAGGAAAACACATGTTTTTTGCATTTCCGTTCTAAATTATTTTGACATTGATCAGCTATCCTGCCCTTCATTCATTCTGTTTGTTTTCTCGAGTACAATAACAGTGTGTTGTTTATCAAATGTTGTTTATCAAATGTGGAGCACTGCTGTTTTTGTGTGTGTGTTTCCAAAGTGAAATTTTTTTTCTTGTTGCACATATTTAATGGAATCTTTCTTTGAATGTTCGCGACCGTTTTTTTGTAGATCTTCACATTATCAACACAAGCAGACACACACACGCACATATTTTACGTCTTGGAAACACATTTTCGAATTTTTGTCTTCTATGTTGCTTTCCTTATATACAAAATATTATGGTTCGTTTTTTTTTCTTTTATTGTAATGTTTGTTTGTTGTTGTTGTTGTTGTCTCCAAATACGCCTTTTTTTTCTTTTCTCTATTCTCTATCTCTCTACAATATATGCATATATAACTTGAACAACAGACCAAAAAGTTTAACAGCAACAAACATATGGGATAAATGCGGTGATAGAAGTTTTATGAATTAGACTATAATTTTCTCTTATTCTATGGCTCGTTTGACAGTTCTGTGATGCCGCTGCTAGTGTTTTATCCAAAGTTATTGAGCAGATACAAATTTAGCGTATACAGATAGTCACCGAATAAGATTGATGCTTAAGGTCTATTATATGCCTAGCATCCTTAACTGGAGATATTATATTTCCATTTTAGCAAAATTTATATTGCCTCAATTCATTTCTATCAATGATTATATTATAAAAATATAATTTATTTCAAAAATAATAATATCAAAAATCGTATTGAAAAATGAAGAAAGACATTTGAAGTTATTTTATTCAAGAACAGCACTTGTGACCTGTGTATTAATTCCACATACTCCTTTTCCTCGTAATATTCGAAAGTAACCCCCTTCGCCCCACTTCACACCCCATGAATTTTTCACGATCCAGTACGGTTTTTTACCTTCGATACCAAATCCAACAAGCAACACGGCGTGATCTAGATTTTTTGGATTACATAATCGTGGATCAAATATTCCTTTATGATAAAACTGTAGCATCTCAGCATTCAGTGCAACTGATAAAGGACCGATAGTCATTAAAGCTGCGGCAATCGTTTCTTCGTCCTAAAAAAATAGACCATTTCTGTAGAAAATAAAGTATTCGTAGAAGTGTTTACATACTTCTTCAATTGCTTTCCAGTCGACAACTTTTAGACCAGGCACAAATTTTGTTACATCAAGTTTTGATTCGCAGCTATCTTTAATATAACAAAATGGTATAGGTGGTCCACATAATGAGTCATTATAACCGGGAGCATTGCAAGGTTCACATGGCGTTTTTAATCCAGAGCAATAACTATAAACTGTTTCGTTGGCAATTCCACCCTAGAAATAGTTAGAATCAAACAAGTTATTCGAGTTAAGTGCGTTTAAAAGTATTATAAATGACTCACTTGAGCTATTAAATATTGAAATGCTAAGAATGGCCAACCTCCATAAACACCACAGTCCGCTTGTGAACTTGAAAAAAAAGAAAAGAAAACTATAATCATCTATTAATCTTTTATTCATGAAAAAAAAACTTACGTAACAGGATTTTGCATCCCATCGCAATCCACAACTTGTTCTACCGATAAATTTGTCAACATAGAATTATTATTACGAAGAAACCACTGACTTTCAACGTTTTGAACTGTACTGAATGCCCAACATGTGCCAACAGAACCTACAAAATAAATTTATTCTATCATTAATACAATTTGTTTGATCACAGCTATTTTATTGAACTAGACACAAAGTAAAAAACTGAAACGTCTCATTTTCGTTATTTTCCAATGTTTTCGTTTTCTAGAGAAGTAGAGCACATTCGTATCAATCTTTTTTGACAAAAATCTACCTTGATCTTTCACCGGTGTAACTGCTTTTTGTGTTCGCCAGTCGAATTCATCTGGTAACTGCTGTTTAATTTCATCCGGTATACGAATATATCTAAATGATAAATATCAACAAAATAATATTTAATACAGGAAAAAATTATTCTACCTTGATTTAGGATGTACTGGTGGCGGTTGAGATTTCATTAAGATTTTCTGTTGAAATTCTTCTTCGGTCATATCAGCAAATTTATTTGCTTCAAATGACATATCTTCTCTTAAAAGTATGTCGAACAAGAATTTAGAAAAAAAAATTTATTAAAAAAATACTTACTCAAAAATTTCATTCATTTTTAAAATTTTTATATAATTCTCTTTAAATATTGTCATTCGATATTGATATTCTTCAATTGATGGATAGTCACGATTATTACGATCTATCCATTTTCTACATAAATAAGGAAAATATAAACTATTGCCCTATACTATTAACATTAGAGTGTTCCATATCCATACTCTAAATGAAACATGTCATTTCTTACCTGAAAAGTACTCGAACATAACTATCGCTTAGTTCATAACTAAACACAAATATGAATAATTTTATAAATTGAATCATGTTGCAATATCATCTTACTTTTGTGTCAATGTTCCAAAACATGAACATAATAAAAAGGAAAAACATATAATTTGGATAAAATAACCTTTCATTTGTGCACTTGTAATATTTAAAGTTAGATGTTCCTTATAGTCGAACAGAAACAAAAATATCTTATATATGTTATATCCCTTTTGTTTTCAAATGGTACTTGATACGATAAGCACCTACCTGTGTAGATAAATAAGTGAATTTTACAAACAAAGAAATAGAAAGACAGAATTGTTGAGTGTAATAGAATTAGCGTTCAATTTTCATTCTACACAAAAAACATTAAAATTTTTTTGCAATTAATCGCTTATATGAAACAATCATCTATCTTATCATTTTCCATTAAGTTCCAGAAGAATCATATGAACTATACCCAACTGTATTGGGATTCTATTTTTTCATTTACATCCATCCTACTCGCTTTTTGATAATTTTTTGCGATTTCACTTTTCATATTAGACAGCAGTATACTTTTTCTTCGTCTACTTTGTTTACAATCGGATATGAAATACATCCAAATAGACCCTTTGATATTTAAATTTGATTTTGGCTTTATCTCAGCAGAGTAATTTATTACAATTTGATTAGAAGCGTTTTTGTTTTCGTAAATTCGACTAATCAATTCTCATACCTTTAATTTATATTTTTAAAATCATTGTCTCTAAGCGAAGTAAGTAAACGACAAAATCTGGCTGCAAAAATAGCTTCAGCTTGCCGCTTACATCTAGATTAAAAGATACATTTATCTAACTGCAAGCTGATTGAAATCATGTTCTAGCTGAGTAGCCATTACATCGATTAATTAATCAACAACAGCTAGTTAAACTTAATTGAAGTCAGATTCAAGCTAGATCAAGGTGTCTTTGCTTTAATTATGATCTCCCATAATAAAAAGTAAGAGCGTTGTGTATGTCTTGATTTGTCTTGGAAGATAGTTCTGCAGTGGATGTATGGTACACTTCTACTTTTCTTCAACCTATCCTTCACTACAGCTCATCAGCTAAGAACCAGACACAGCCAGTTTCGAAGCTTAGGACTATCTAGCTTTATGTGTACTTCCGCTCCCTTAGCTAAACGATGTTATAGCTAATGCCGCTTTTAAAGTAATAATGTTACGATGTTACATTGTTGTTGTTATTCTATAGATAAATCTCGATAGAGTGATAATAAACGCGTCAATAATGAATAAAACATATTCGTAAAATTAAAAATACAAATGAAAATCATTGGAATCTGATAAGATCTTTGATTAGTAGTTTTTCTTGACATTTGAAATTCAATTTTGAGCCACGTTTGGAAAAATAATTTTTGATAGCCGTGATGAAATTTCCACATTCATATTAGCAATTTTTTATACATATTTATAATCGCTCGAAGGTATGTTTTATAATCCATGTATGTGCGAGATAAACGAAATAATGGGCCAATTACTACACCATAACTCATAACTTTTGGGTAATTACCATACAGAGTAGGGTAGCTGACAATGCTAAAACCGAATTTAGCTCGTTTATCATATGGTCTGATCCTAATAACTCCATTGATGATATTCATTTCGAAATCGAGAAACGAAACTTCTTGAGTGTTAGGATTTTCGCGATTCAAATCGAATTGTACAGGATATATTATTTGTTTGTTGAGGTTAAATTTGTCGTCCTAGTTCATTGTTATGCGGTCATCTGTATAACGAAATGTACTTTTTAGAGATCTACATGTTGAGTAGATTTTTTGGGTGTTTCTTTTCATAAATTCAGACTCAGATTTATACAAAAATAGATTAGCCAGATAAGGACCGGGATTAATGCCCATTGGTATACCGATTGTCTAATGTATAAGGATTGTGCCAGAGTAATAAATATAACTATTTTCGACTAAAAATCTGATAATTTGCCCAAAAGTATCCCTACTGGTTATTGTTAAACTTCTGTTTTTGTGTATATTCAATGTACTTGGAAGGTGGCAAACCAGTTGTTAGCTAATATTACAGTACTTTGTGATAAATAGTTTGTCTTTGCTACCCACTCCATACTTTCAATCATTAGGTTATGAGGAATGCTTGTATACAGAATAGAGATCATAGATTTCTATATTTATTGAGATTTTCTTCTTTTTTATTCCTCTGATTTTCTGTAATACCTTTTCTGAACTATCAATCGTCCAAAAACGGTTAATCTTTGTTCTACTTAGAACGTTGGTACTATACTCTACTTGTTGTGGATACACTAATCGTAAAGTAGAACAAAGTATTTTTTTTGTGTACAAAGTATACTTTTTTGCTAGCTTTATCCACCGACGCAATAAAATATTAATCATGTAAACTCATTAGTTCATTCAAAACATTAAGCTATTTTAATTTGGGTTTAAAATAACTATAGATTCTATAGTTTATTCTTGACTGAAGTTGTTTAATCTATTTTTTAATGGAGTCTAAAATTTTCACTTCTCCAAAAGTCAAACAATTTTTTCGAAATTTTCTCTCTTCTTGCCGTTTTTTTCGTGATATTTTATTCCTGCTTCTATACTTTTAAATGCAAATTTCAAATTAGTCGATTGTGACTCTCGGTACTGTGGACCTTTTTGTAACAGTTCTCGAAGCGATTTCTTTTTTAATGATTTTTAAATTGTCAATGTGGTGATGATGAGAGTTGATGAATTATGACCAATCGACAATCATATTGCAGTCTTTTAAAATCATTAATATCGAAATTCGTCACTGGATGATGATAATGAAAGATTGTACTACATCTAGGTTTTTTTAAGTTGATATGTAGTCATAATAGATTGCTGTTACAAATTTGTTGGTAAGAGCTGGTTAATATTTCTGATAGTTAAAGTTCTTTTTATATTGATATCCTCTATATTTTTATTAACAAACTGGATAACTAAAAAATTCTGTTTAAGTTCTTTTCATCTTTATTTGTCTTTAACACTTATTTCAACGTACGTGGTAAACATCAATTGTGTCTTGTCTTATACTATTACAATAAGAAATCACACCGTAAACCGTTTTAGTATTGTGAACATGCGTTGTTTGTTCCTATATGTGAAGACTTTTCTCATATGTTAAATTAGATAGATATTAACATAAAAACGTGTATATTCTACAAGAACTATCTGTATTCATAGTCGTTTATTTTTCTAGGTATTTGTGTATTGTCTGATATTATATCATTGTTTTCTTTTTCTTTCTTTTCCTTAGGCTGTTCATATACAAGTGCACATGCAAAAATGAACATAAAAAATGAAAACAAATTCGATCTAGTTAATGATTCCATATTCTTTTTGTTACAATATGATTCGCCATATTGTACATATTCGGTCTACTATAAACATTTCAGTAATGTTGGATAAAACCATTTTATATACAGATCGTAACAAACTCGAACAAATATTGTTTAAAATAAATGTTCATAGAAAATGTGAAAAAAAAGAAAATCTGACGAAAAATATTTAAAATCATTTCAAAATCAATAATCGATATGATCAATATCAATTTCATCGGAATTAATAAAATCTACCATGGCATACTTCCATGTCCAATTTCTCGCAATTTGTTCATATTGTTCACGATTATTTAAAAATAAATCACCGGCTCGCCGATTCATACAAATGTAAGCATAAGGATCAGTTAGTAAACTTTGTACAGATATCAATACTTTTGATATTGTCAGTGCTAAACTCCAGTTATGTGAGAATGAATCAAGGCCAATATCCCCATGCATATTTATGTTTGGATGAAATATTTTTGTAATGAAACGTACGCGTGGTGGAATCATTGGATAAGATTGTGGAATATGCAAGTAAAGATAGAAAATACCACCCTCATATGGACTTCCGCTTGGACCCAATACTGATGCTTGCCAATGATAACACGATGATGGATCAAGCGGTGTAGCTTCAATACCTTCAGGTGGTTCGCCTTGCAACGCTCGAATTTCACTTTGTAAACGTCTATGACGCCATAATGTGGGATGAATAGCTAAATGATTTTCGAATCTAATACCCGTTTCATTTAGACATAAAAAACACGATGTACTCTGTATTAAATGATCGTAGATACGACTGATATCAATATTATCATCGTTACGACTTAAAACAAATAGAGGCCAACGAGTTCTTAAAAATGTCTGCCAATCCACGGTCGAATTAATCAATCGTCGCCATCGATAAGATGCTTTACTAATGGCGTATATGCTTAAATCATCCATATTTTTCATGATGGCCAACATGACTTCTGGTGGTAAGTTTTCTAAATAGGTATCGCTGGACGACACTTTTGTTCTTGGTGTAGTTAATTCATAAACAAGTTCATTAAGTAATTCATTTCGACGATTGATACGAGATAGGGATGCTGTATTCAATGACGACGATTGCCCAGTGTTTTTTTTCGGTTTCGATGATGTCACAGAGTCACCCACATCTTCGTTACCAGAATCATTTGAATCAGATTTCTATAAGTATAGAGAAAAAACTAATAGCACAGGATAACACTCTCGTCTACTAATCGTTTTCAATCAAAACTCAAAAATCAGTTTTATTAATTTATTAATATCAGGTGATGGTACGTGGACTAAGATGAAAAAAATGTGCTTATTTCGTGTACTTTTCCGTTTTGTATGAAGCAACTCAAATTCATTCGATGAAAGTTTTGAGTTTGTACCAAAATAAAATGAGATTTCATTTCCTGTTTCCAGTTTTTTCAGACAAGCTACGGTTACAGAGGTATTCACTACAGAGGGTGCTGTTTTTGTGAATATCTCTGTAACCGTAGCACAGTTGGCATCCAGGCGGAAATTGGTGAAAAATCGAAGTTGCTCCTAATTCAAATAGAAATAGTGAAAAATGTAGCCCTTTCAAAGGGCTATCGAATGGTATATAAATGTCTATTTTGAAAATGGTTCCTACAACGAGAAATCACGGTACACAAAACCGATTACGGATATCGTTACTACATACGAAATAAAGATTCTTTGCTT